AATGGTAACGTGCTGGCCACGAACCTGAAGGTCACGGGTCCCATCCCTGGCGATGTCCAAGGTGTGCACTGCTGAGGAGTCCCATACTGATCAGACGAAGCAGCTATCCAATGCTCCCAGGTTTCCTTTGTTCCTTCAACTGATGTCAGTCTACGATGAATAACAACTTGAAATATTTCCAAATCCTTACAACTCCCTCAAAGTTCATGAGCATGTTTTACAAGCAGACGCATGGTACGGCCGATCTACTCAGCTCCACAAGAGCAAGTAAACTGATATATACACAATGAAATAATTCTGGAACGTCCTACCCACTGTAATATATATTCACGAAAGTACAGCTTAGTAAGTGACTTTGTCGAAAAGAAACATTTTTCTTCGCTATAATCACGTCTTACTTTTTCCTGTGATCAAATGGATGTATTCCACTATTCTATCAATATTGATTTCATTGCACAACTAACACACTAAAACTGATAGCAATTCCACTAATCCATTCAGTTTGATCTCCCTCCATTCACTCATCACAATACTTACTGTTTCGATGTAGTAAATATTGTACAACATGCATTATTTCGGCTATTGTATTTCACTTATTCTCATGAATTTAAAGCTGTAGAGACAGAAGAAGTTATTAAAAACAATTGTTCGCTCAAATTATTTTTGTTTTCAATACTCTATCCAAAACTTTAAATCATGAAGAGGAATATGATTTGACTATCTGAGATAGTATTTACACTTAGGGATTCGAACCCGATGGTCGCTGGTTCGAATCTGGCCGTGGTCCAGATTTTCATCTTACCTTCAACCCGGTACGAAGTGGAATATATCTTTTTGTTCAGTCAGTCTACAACAATAATCATTTTAGTGATGATAATAGGAACAGCATGATGCTATCGACATGTAAACAGTCAATGTACGTCGAAACTTAGAAAAATAAAAGTTCTGTAATACTAAAGTATGAAGTGTGTAGATAATCAAAGTTTAAGCAAATAAGAAATGTATGCGAGAAAGGTAAAGAAGAGGAAGGGGAGAAAAAATTGGATTCATCCTTCAAGTCATTTATCAAGTGTTCTCTTGCCAAGTATCTGTACACAAAGACTAATTCTCCATAACCTCCGCTATAAGTAACATGCGAATAAGAATTCCAAATTAGAATGGAAAGTAGCATCTAATCTAGTTGAACTCTAGAATATGAATGTTATCATCAAACTGGAATTCACTTCCGTCAAACCCATCATGTCAAAGGTATCTAATCTATCTGAACTGACCAAAATTCATAGAACTAATTAGTCCTTTACCTTCTATCTTGTCAATATCTGTCATTCATCTACACAAAAATTGGCCAAATGGTTCGAGAAAACTCTGGTTCCATTTCAAAATGATTGATGGAAGTGTTCTTTAGAAGACACTTGTTGTCTATCTAGGTAGTAGTAATATCAAAGACAAAATGGTTGTATTCCTTTGACATCAACTCTTTATTCACCAATGTGCCTCTTATTGGAAGCGTTGACATTCTTCGTGATCATGTATTTTCCAGAAAATTTTCTTTCACTATCCCTTCAACGTGTTCAAATGAAAGAGATACTGTTATTGTGTAATGACAAAGTTTATTTCATATTTGAAGCAGAATGTTTTCAACAACCAGAAGACGTGGCTGTGAAAAGTCCCCTAAGACCGTCGTTAGCTTAAGTTTATGTCATGTATGGAAGGCTTGGCTAGTGACCTCATCAGCAAGGTTACTCTCTACAAGAGATATGATGATGATGATGATTTAATTGAGACATGTGACAAGCATGTAGATGCGGTACATTCGCTAAAAATACTCAACACCGTAATAAACAATATACGCTGAACATGTGAAGAAGAGAAAGATAACTATTTGTCGTAAGAAAGGCGATATACAAGAAACCCAGTTGCACAGATCAGGATTTAAGTCTTCATGGCTTTTGCCCAATTCAATACAACAGAGGTTTGGTAATGTACCTATTCGAAGGGATCCAACGTATCTGTACGAAAGACTGAATCGATGATGAAACCAACATAATAACTGAAACATTAGTAAAAAAATTGGATATCCATTGAAGTTCATAAACCGTTGCAAAAATCAGTCAGTATAGAAACCTATTCTGTATTACCTTCTGAAGGAATGAGTTTGTACTTCGTTAGAACAAGAAGAGAAGTCTTACAGCAAAATTAGCATTAGACATCAGCAAAGCACACTATGCAGCTGGGCTTATAGTAGATGAGGTGACTAAACACATGGTGCATCACAGACCTCAACACTGTATAAACGGTTGCATCACATCCCACTGCGTTAATCAATTTACGTGTGTGTGGACACATATGCATTATGAGGACTAATGAAGACATGTACTTGAGGGTAAGAGAACATGTATCAGAATAGCTACAAAGGCAGACGGAGAAGAAAACATCGATAAGCGCAGGTGGCAGACAGTTATCATTGTCTATCTCAAAACACTGGCCAAATACGACAGGAATGAACTTCGTATTGACTACCCTTTTCTCTTTCCTAGCCATGGTGGTAGGTGCTTAGCATCACATCTGTTAAGCTGCATAGTGATACCCCCGATACAGCTTTCTCTACAGGAACAGCTGAACTGATAAATGCAAATAGTGGCAAAACTGAGCAGCTTGTATTTTGTCTAAGTAATAATGATAGGCTGGCTAGAAGGCGGAAGGAATAAAGTGATAACCACTTTATATAACAACACAACTAACAACGATGAAAAAGTATATTCTGAAGAGTTTCAAACGGAACGAAACGTGAGTCCTGAATTACATTTTAAGCCATCGAACAGGCTAAAATATAATGAATATTCACACAGTACATAGCCACTTGCACAGCAGTCCATCTACCTATAGAGGTCGAACAATTCGACCAGGTATACCAATCGCTTAACTTGTCATCGTAAATCCGTCATAAATTGTTAGTGCCAGTCTAAGAATCCTTTAATTCCATCTAGAGGTTTTTGGAGATTTATTAATTGGTTTTACGTTGAAATCCATCATGGACTGACACCAGTTGGAGGAACATTGATAATCTGGGAGCACTGGACAGCTGTTTCGTCCAACTAGTATGGAACTCCTCAGTAGTGCGCAGCCACAACATTCAGGTTCCTTCTGTCAGTTCATGACATAGCGCCACCTACATCTAATGCCATCGTCATTGAGTAACTGTCCTCATGTCCCACTAGCTTGACTCCTTTGGTCTCGACTTCGGATTGGTACTTCAGGAATCTCCTCCCGAAGACAGTCACCAATCAGCACTAGATTAATATACTGTCTGAAGGTTTGTGGAGAATTCTTAAGTTGTAATTCATTCTTTTAAGTACTTTTTTTATTTTACATACCAGGTAAGCAAAGAAATAATTCATAGTACTTCAAGTTTTTAACAGAATTTTTCTAAACAAAATAAGTTCTCTTCATTTAATGAATAAAATATGTTTGTAAATTTCAGTTAACCCATAAGATAGTTTATCATCTGTAAGGTTCTCCATCATCAGATGGCCAGAAAGAATAAACAACAAGGAGCTCTGTGAACGAATCAACCAAGAACCTATCGCTCAACAAATATGTAGAAGGAAGTGGAGATGGATTGGGCATACACTGAGAAAGCCGATTGGGGATATCACGCGTAAGGCCCTTAAGTGGAATCCCCATGGTAAGCGACGAGTTGGTCGTCCAAGAGTGACATGGAGGAGATGGTGTGAGGAAGAAAGAGAGCTTGTGGGCAGTCGTGTAACCAGGCTGAAAAGATTGGAGAGAAGAGAGTGGAATGGAGACGTGCTACTGAAGCCCTATGTTCCATTAGGAACCCAAGGGACTAATAATAATAATAATATAAATAAGGTTCTCTATCGCAAGTGAAAGTAGAGAAGACAGAGGTGATGGAGATATCCAACCATCAACAACACCAACAAACACCAATCACCATCAAAAGGAGAAACTTAAAAGAAGTAGCCTCTTTCACGTACGCATACATAGGCAGCATCATTTCAACTACAGACGACGGCACAGGCACAGATGAGGATATCAAAACCAGCCAGGAAGGGAAATACAACAAGACAGGCTTTATTTCATCAACCTGAAACCAGTGTGGAGATCTAATGCAATCCACTGTAATCAGCATAAAGCGAGAACAAGTTCTGGCTTTTCAACACTGATGTCAGTCAAGTCAGTGCATCTATGTGATGGTTGAGAGACTTGGCGCGTTGCGAGAATCATTTCCAACAAACTACAGATATTCATCAACAACTGCCTACACTGGCTCCTTACTGAAGATCAGCTCAGATGGTCAGAATAATCAGAACAAGCAACAAGGAACTGTGGGAACGAACCAACGAAGCGAGAATCTATCGCTCAAGAAATGTGCACTGGAAGGAAGTAGAGATGGATTGGGCATTCACTGAGCAGGCCGATAAGGGATATCACGCGCCAGGCCAGTTTCTCAAGTGGAACTCAGGTGGGAAGCGACGAGCTGGGCGTCCAAGGTGAGGGTGACATGGAGGAGATGGTGTGAGGAAGGAATGAGAGCTTGTGGGCAGTCGTGGAACCAGGTTGGAAAGATTGGAGAGAAGAGAGTGGACTGGAGACGTGCTACTGAATCTCTATGTTCCATTAGGAACCCAAGGGACAAATAATAATAATAAGGTTCGCTACATAACATGTTTTTGTCTTCCACAAATACTGTTTTCCTTACTAGAAGAATTTAGTTTCAATTTTTATGCATGAGTAGTTTTGTATAAATCTCACCTTATTCACGTAACATTTGTATACAACCAGATGTAACAATACCAACTAAAGGTCATTTAATGTTATCTTAAGGTTACAGATAGCTTCGAATAAGTGATAGATCAATAAAATAGTCATATGATCATCAATTACCATATAAACATCTACTGAGATATAAACAAAATCTTGTCTCAGTTTAAAACATTGATGCATCTATGCGATAAAAGGAGATTCAATTGACGAAGATGGATAACTCATCGAAACTGGTGGAGTCGAACAGCTTTCACGCAAATCCAATCATTGATGATAATGATAATAATAATAATAATAAAGACAAGAATGAAACCAAATCTAATGTTAAACGAGACAGTCCTAGTCAGGTTACAATCTTAAAACCAACAGATACTCATGAAAGTTCAAGTGGTGAGTATCCATTTATTTCTTTGTTTTTTTTATTCTATTTACTATTCAGATAATTTACGATCTAATCAAGGTAGTAGTTTAACAGAAAGTGATCTACGCACTACTAGTAGCAATACAGTTACTGTCAGTTTTACAGAAAGTGAAAGTACTAGTCGAACAAGCAGTCATGATGATGATGATGATAGTGTCTCAAGGAGTAATAGTGAAGACACAAGTTCAACTGACTCAGATAACAATGATGAAGATTTTGATAAATCAAATCAAATTGCTGACTTTTCTGGTCAAGGTTTCAATATTGTACCATCAATAATATTTCATCGTAAGTTGTATTTATTCTATAAATTTGTATTAAAACACTGTCGTTAACTAATTTGTTTATTGTGTTTTTAAAACAATTAGTTCCCTTTATAAACTTCGACAAAACAATAAGAAGACGTAAATTGTCTGAACCGTGTAATGTATTTGCGCAACACATTTCGAACTATCTGATCACACACGTACTTGTCATAGGTATTTATATAAAAACTCATGAAGATAAGGGGTGAGAAAATAAAAAGGGGTCAGGTAGGAAGGCTGACTTAAAGGCCGAATAACAATGAAAATCAATAGAGCGAAAAAATAATAGTACATCGAACTTGGTTTTTCAATAGTTGAATTTACCAAGGAAGGTTTAATGTGACAACAAATTGTTTATGAATACATAAAGGTGGTTTCAACTTCCTAATAGCTAAGGCTTCAACAAATTTCAGGATCCCTCCCCAACATGTTTTGTAAATAGGTGTAAAGGAAGTAGCCACATCAATCTTGTGACCTGTCTCAACGATATGTTTAGCGATCGAAGAACTTGGACGTCTGCTACCAACATTTATAGGTTCAGGTGATTTGATTTGCTTCTGAAGCCACTTTGGAATATGTTCCGAGGCCCTTACTTGCATGGATCTATTAGTCCTCCCTATGTATGTGTCACCACACGTACATTTGAATTGGTAGATACAATGGGATGTGACATTATCGTTCACATGCTGTGGGGGTTTGGGGGAATATAAGGGCTTCGTGGTTTCGATTACTCGAACCCTGGCTGCATAGTAAGTCCTTCTAACAGCAGCGTTAAGTCTCTGCTTAAGGATTGCACTCTGAGAGTCACCTTTGTACGGAAGGCTGATGAAGACATCCTTCTTTGGGACTGACTGCAGTTCTAGTTTTGACGCTCTGCTGATTTTGTTCTGCCTGATAAATGTTGATGGATAGTTATTTTCCAACAAAATATCGGTCAGTGTTCCTCTTTCATCTTCTAAAGTATCCTCGGTGCATATTCGTTGAATTCTGCTGAATAGGCACCTTACTAACGTTCGCTTGTACTGAACTGGGCAAAAGCTATGGTAATTCAGATATTGCCCTGTCCATGTAGGTTTTCTGTAGATAGATCGTTTTATGGATCCATCCTGCCTTCGACTAATTAATATATCTAGGAACGGCAAGCAGTCATCTTCCTCTCTTACACATGTCAAAGATATGCTGTTCTGTACTTCGTTCAGTCGGTTTAGAATTGAAGTAGCCTGATTTGAGTTTTCACAAATAATCAGGATATCGTCAACATATCTTCGATACAGATGGGCTTGGTCTATTAAGTTCTCGGCTAAGTTCTCAACGTGTGACATAAATATGTCGGCTAGGAGGGGACCTAAAGGACTTCCCATAGCGACACCATCAACCTGGCGGAAATGTTCGCCCTCAAAGGTGAATTTAATATTGTTTGTACATAAAAGTAACAGCTGTTTTAGGTGATCCAAAGTAATGGGTATCGGAAACTTATGCACAGAAATATAACCACATAAAATGTCAATTGTCTTGACCAAAGGGACATTGGTAAATAATGAGTTAACATCAAATGAACACATAAATTTACTCTTTATGTTGACATGCTCAAGGCATTTGATTACTTCAAATGTATCTTTTAAGGAATACTTACAAAATTGCTTCTTAATGGGATCCAATAACTCCACTAGCCACTGGGCAAGCTTATGCGTTGGCGACTTACACATTGACATTATGGGACGTAAGGGGTTGTTGGGTTTATGTACTTTGGGCAAACCGTAAAGATGTGGGAATCGGGATTCAGTTGGTTTCAGTAGGGCGAATTTTTGACTGGTAATGACGTTCATTTCGAGCAGTTTCACTAGATTAGCGGTCACAGTTCCCTGTAACAATTGTACGTCTTCTGAAGAACAATCCTTAGTGAATTTATTTTCATCTTCAAGAATCGATGACATTTTACACTTATATTCGATTTTATCCATGATCACGACACCTGAGCCTTTGTCAGGTCTGAGGATAATAATATCAGGGTTCTCTCGTAGTTCCTTCATAGCTCTGAAATGTTCAGAAGTTAGAATGCTTTTCTGGTTCTGATTGTGTTTTATTTCTTACAATCTGATGACAGAGATTACACAATCAGAAGTGTATAAAGTTGTCTTGTTAACAATGTTATATTAAGAACAAGATATTCAGCGAAGAGACTCTTTTCAACGAATTTCTTTTCAAGCTGTACAATCATATATATATGGTATTTGGAAAAAAACTATGTCCTGTGAGGAAAACTAAACACTATATGGTGATGATGAGAATAATCATAGAGCGGGTGATGACATAGGCATTTATGATTATAATAAGAATTGAAGTGCGAATGATAACAAACAGATTATGTAATATATGGAATGGTACATAGAGAGTATATAAATCAGAAGGGATTGAAAAAGGTAAATCAATTAAGTATTATGTAATGGCATTAGACAAATTGGATAAGATGAAGTCAATGTTTTCTAAAATGATTAAGACAAGTAAGTGAAACAACAATAATTTCAAGTTGTTATTCATCGAAGACTGACATCAGTTGGAGGAACAAAGGAAACCTGGGAGCACTGGACAGCTGTTTCGTCCGACTAGTATGGGACTCCTCAGCAGTGCGCACCCACCACCCCACACCACCACCAGCGATCGAACCCGCGAACTTCAAGTTCCGCGGCCAGCGCGTTACCATTGAGCCACTGGGTCACAATCCAATACTCCATATTTCCAACTTCTGTTAGCTCATGATATATAGCGCAAACCGCCACCCAATATCATCGTTGAGTAGTTGTCCTCATGGCCATCAGGCTTTGACTCCACCGGTCACGACTTGTCATTGGAACTTCGAGAATACTTCTCGAAGTTAGTCACCAATGAGCACCAGTCCAATTAAATTTTTTTTTTGAGGGGGTTGTGGAGATTTGGAATTATTTCAAGTTGTTATCCATCGTAGACTGACATCAGTTGGAGGAACAAAGGAAACCTGGGAGCACTGGACAGCTGTTTCGTCCTAGTATGGGACTCCTCAGTCTACGATGAATAACAACTTGAAATAATTCCAAATCTCTACAACTCCCTTAAAATTTAATAACAATAATAGTGATAAAGGAAGGATACAAAGGTTAAATTAACAAAGTGGGAGGAGGAGCTAATGGGGTGGGAAAATGTTATGGCCATGATAAAGACAGTGACTGCACATACTTCTTTTGTACACACAGATCAGGTCTTAGTTCATGAATAGCTAAAGCCTCCGCTGTTTTAAGAAGTTGAAAACGAAGAGAACGTGGGAATTATTAAAATGTTATAGTCAAGTAAATGAATGTCATTTTTCTCATGAAGCTGTTGGTAGTTTTGTGGCAAGTATACTCATCCGAAGAACATTTCTCAGATGAGGATGAGTTAAAGTATATGAGAACCAAAGTTTCATGAAAATTACACTATGTAAGATGCAACATGTTCTTCTTTATATATTCAATTTGAAGGTTTGTGAGAATGTATTGACTTTAAGTTGATGTTCACTACAGTCTGACATCAATTTAAATGGTTATTGATGAAATAGAACAAGCTTTCACTCAACTCGCTTCCATATTTAGAATCCATGGATCACTATTTTTTGTGGTTATCAACTTGTGTGTATAAGCAAAGGGAGAGAGCAAAAAGTAGTAGTTAAAAATTGAGAATTCATTTGGTTCTGAACAGATCCCATCCACATCTGAAGTAAGTATCAGGTGAGTGTTTAAAGGATTCAGATGATGTAACCTGGGTCACTTCTGCAGGAAGAGCATTTCAGTAGTTAACAACTGTTAAGGAATAAAAGTCGTGTCTGATATCTTACCTGCTAGGTTTGGTTCCTCTATTTATCGTCCACGTTTGGTGCTACAACTAAGACTCCGTAAGGGATGAAGTGTGTCAAGTGGTGCTCAAGATGGTCTTCTATATTCCAGAGGATATAGATCAGGCCCAGCCAGTTGTTCTTCACACCTAAGTCTTTGGAGAGATTCGGTCAACCGCCTTTAGATGCATTCTGAACTTCAGATCAGGTCTTATAAAGCTGTTGAAAGTCTAATGAAAATATCTGAGATCAATTTGTCCAAAAGTCTGTCTAAAAGTTACTAACGTCCAGTTTCCATGGTATGCGTTTTGGTCACAGTTGGCATACGATTTTAGGTCAAGAGGGACTAGAATACGCCCGAATAATTCTAGGTCAGTGACCCTTTAAGTTCCATGCTGTTAAGCCTATATACATGACATACATTATATTGTACATGTACAACCTTGTATCATAGAACCATTGATAACCTGAAGGGAACTAATTAGCCCTTTCGTCCAGTTAGTATTGAACTTTTCAACAGTGCACACTCATAACTTCAGCAGAGATTGAACTTAGAACCTTCGGGTTCCATAGTGAGCACGTTGTTATTGACCCACTGGGTCACAATCCAATGATTTACATTTCCCTACTAGAAAGAAACAGCTATCCAGTGGGCCCAGGTTCTCAATAGTCCTCCAAATGACGTCATTCCGTGATAAATATCAGCTTCAATTACTTTTTTTTCCGAATAAGTATTGAAAGGCTATCACAGGGTTAGTTGAGCATCAGCAGACAGTTACTTTCTTGCCTTGAGGAATGAAATTCATTCTCAACTTCAATCTACAAATACAGAAAAGTTACTAATAGCTAAACATTGCAAATGTTGCACTTAAAACCCAAAATAGCTGAAACTCTGTCTATTTCTGTTGTTCAAACACGCTCAACCTCTGTTGGCAGGTTGGCTTCTAAGCAGATGCCTTGATGCTGCCTGAATAGGAGCCCACCTATCAACAGAAGTCGAGCAATTCAACTCAGGATAGTGATAATAAACAGCATGTACTACTCCTAGCACAAAAGGTGATTTGCGTACCCCAGTAGCCTACTGGCGTTTGAAGCGATCCATTTAGGCTCAAATCTCAGTGGGAACAACATCACTTTGCCCT